GATAGGTTTTATTTCTGATTTTGCTATAATTTATGAGATTAATAAAATGCCTTTAAGATTAAAATTAACCCCAAGTTCCCCAGAAAATATGGGGTTTTAAAAATGATTTTATTTATTTATTACAGAGAGAGATCAAGAGAGAGAGAGAGAAAACACAGGCTGGGGGAGTGGGAGTGGGAGAGAGAGAAGCAGGCTTCTTGCTGAGCAGGGAGCCCAGTGCAGGACTCAGTCCCACATGGGATCATGACCTGAGCTGAAGGCAGAGGCTTAATGACTGAGCCACCCAGGGTGCCCTAAAAATATGGGTTATTATATAAGATTTTCATGAACCACTTTGAAATGATAGCACATGTACTGCTGAACTAGAAGTGGGGGCTGAAAAGCCCTCTCCTGTATTTAAGAAATTGCAGGAAGGAGGCTATTTCTTATTGTTACAAAAGACCGAAAAAGGGAGATTAAAGTAAAATGAGTATTTCCATATAGTGAGAGTGTTGGAAGGCTTTTGAGAAACAAATTTTTTTTTCATTTTTAAAAATATTTATTTGAGGGAGAGACAGTGGGAACAAGCACAACAGGAGGGAGGAGCAGGGGGAGAGGGAGTAGCAGATTCCCCACTAAGCAGAGAGCCTGACATAGGACTCGATCCAGGAGCCTGGGATCATAACCTGGGCTGAAGGCATATGCTTAACTCACTGAGCCACCCAGGTGCCCGAGAAACAAGATTAAAAAAAAAAAAAGGATTTTATTTATTTGAGAGAGAGAGAGAGAGCACAAGAAGGGGGAGGGTCAGAGCGAGAAGCAGGCTCCCCACTGGTCAGGGAACCTGATGCAGGACTTGATCCTGGGACTCCAGGAACATGACCTGAGGTGAAAGCCGATCGATGCCCAACCAACTGAGCCATGCAGGCACCCCGAGAAACAAAATTTTAGAATATTAAGTGTGGTTGAAGATGTTTTTGGCATGGCATAGTGGATAGACTGGCAACATTTTGAAATTATTTTGTAACTCAAAGATTTAGTGATGGAGCCCCAGCTTTTAAAAAATAACGTTTATTCTTTAAAGTTTTTAATTCATTAGTTAACATACAGTGTTATATTAGTTTCAGGTGTACAGTCTAGTGATTCAGCAGTTCCGTACCTCACCTGGTTCTCATCAGGACAAGTGCACACCTTAATCCCCATCACTTGTTTCGCTCATCCCCACACTCCCCTCTGCTTCAATTTATTCAGAACAATTAAGAGTCTCTTTCTTGATTTGTCTCTCTTTCTCTTCTCTTCCCCTTTGCTCATTTGTTTTGTTTCTTAAATTCCACATGACTAAAATCATATGGTATTTGTCTTTCTCTGATGACACTTTCACTTAGCATCGTATTCTCTAGCTCCATCCATGTCACAGCAAACGGCAAGATTTCATTCTTTTGTAGGGCTGAGTAATATTCCACTGTATATATGTACACACACCCTCTTCATCCATTCATCAGTTGATGACACTGGGGCTGCTTCTGTAATTTGGCCATTGTCAATAATGCTGCAGGAAACATAGGGGTGCATGTATCCCTTTGAGTTAGTGTTTTTGTATTCTTTGGCTAAATACCCAGTAGTGTGATTGCTGGATCATAGGGTAGTTCTGTTTTTAACCTTTTTTTTTTTTTCAAACCACATTCTAGTGTAAAGAGAGGCCAAAACCAGAGAAGACAAAGTAAAAAAGAAACAGAAAGAAGGTATTTGTTGCTACAAATCTCAGAAACAACCAGGAATATACATTTCTCATAGGTAAAGGACACTGTATGAATCAGAGTTCTCCACAGAAACAGAGCCATTTGGATATTATATATATAGCACATATTTAGTAAATATATAATACATATGTATATTAAGAGGTATAATATAAAGGATTAGCTCCAGCAACTATGGAGGCTGGCAATGTTACAGGATTTCCTTCTCCTTTAGTGCTGGTGGTTCTTGGTCACGCTGCTTTGAAGAATGAAGAGGTAGACCAGACAGGGTGGTGGGCAGCAAAACAAGGTTTATTGAGCGGTAGTGAAGTAATAGTACAAAGCTCCCAAAGAGGTAGGGAACCTGAAAGGGTTGCCCTGTTTTTAACTTTTTAAGGCACATCCATACTGTTTTCCACAGTGACTGTACCATTTTGCATTCCTACCAACAGTGAGTTGATGAGTGATCAACAGCATGAGTGATCCTTTTTCACCACATCCTCACCAACTTCTGTTGTTTCTTGTGTTGGTGATTTTAGCTATTCTGACAGGTGTGAGGTGATAGCTCATTGCAGTTTTGACTTGCATTTCCCTGATAGTGAGGATGAGCATCTTTTCATATGTCTGTGGGTCATCTGGATGTCTTCTTTGGAGGGATGTCTGTTCACGTCTTCTGCCCATTTTTAAACCAGATTATTTGTTTCTTGGGTGTTGAGTTTTATAAGTTCTTTATGTATTTTGGATACTAACCGTTTATCGGATATGTCATTGGCAAGTATCTTCTCCCACTGGAGCCCCAAATTTTAAAGCTAAGCCATGCAAATCAATTCTGTTTCCTCACCCAGTGCCTGAAACTCAAAATTCCCAAGTGGTTAACATCTTGATATTATGTATCTGCTTTTTACAGAACACTGCGGGGTCACTGGATGGTTGGAGTACATGGCCGGGGGTGGGATGTCCATGACAGAAGTGGAAGCCAGTCTCCTCTTCTGCAGGAATTTGAAGAGCAGATGTGGTCAGAGTGGTTCAAGAAACATCCCTCTTATTTTCCCAGTCACTTTTTAGTGGTATTCTGGTACTTACTTACCTGTTTATACTTGAAGTTTACAGAGTAGCAAACTTTGGAAGAGTGTAAGGCTTGCTGAAAAACAAACATCTTTTCCGTATATAGAATACTGGCAAAAACTAATAATGTCCACAGCGTTGGTAGATACTAAGAGATCTTAGTTGTTTGTGATATTGGCGAAGATAAGGCAGTTTGAATTGGACAGAAATGGCTCTGAACCCAGATTCTCCCATGTTCCCTAGCTGAGTCACCTTGAGCTTCTCTCTCAGCTTTTGAGTCCTTTTCTATAAGGTGAACATTACCATCTATCTGGCTGGATTATTTTGTCACATAATAGATATTTATTAAGTGGTAGTTTATATTATTATTTCCTATAGTATTTCTTAGTAGAAGTATATGATCCAGATTAAGGGCAGAGTTTTTTATTCCCGCATCCCTTTCCACAGAAAGAGTAGAGTGAGTGCGAGAGATTGAGAAATGATGAAACCAGAATTGTTTTTGTTTTTTAATTTTTAAGAGGATATTTGGTATAAACTTGTCCTTACTGGTGATGAAGATTTAGTGAGCATTATGGTTTTGTTTGCCTCAGTTAAAATTCATTGTTTTACTCGCAAAACCTAATTTATAGACTAATAGCCTTGGACAGCAGGCATTGAAGTTGATCAAAGGAGCCAAAGTAAGAACTAAGCCTTGGACTTCTCCCATCTTTCTAGAGCCCTGCAGCCTTGATGTTTACATTTTCATTATGTTATATATTTTATTTTTAGTTATAAAACAGGTTTTATTGTCTTTATACCTTGATAAACATTAATTAATATAGTAGGTGATTCTCTGACCCATACTTTTACCAACTTAGGGGAAATCAAAATTGAGGAGTATCATGAAAAATAAAAGGGGCATCTAAACTCAGAGTCCCAGTTATTTGTGTTAAGACTGTATTATAACAGAAGCTTGATAAAGAAAGGCTTCCTTATTTTTGTTTCCCACCCTGCTACAGCTGTCTTTACCTCTGTACAGGACTCCCTGTTAACTGCTCTCTCATTATGATTATGTGCTTGAAGTAATTATTTTTTCTTTTGATTTCAGTAGATCCTAGATGACCTGTTGACTCCCTGACACTTATAGAATTCTCTTAGGACCTGAGCAAGAGGGGCCTCTGCTCTGGATCTTGTGTGTAGAGGACCCAGATATCACAAACTTTAAAAAAGTAGTGTCATTTGGGATCCAACACTCAACGCTGGTAGAGCAACTTGTCATCCAAACATTTACCCTAGTGACAAACACCTTTCAGGTCCCAGATACACTTCTCCTTGTCACTTACCCTGAAGCCCTGGAAATAAATGTCATGAAGGTTATGGGCTGTTGATGGTGGTTATCGACACTGCTTTGATGTGTAGAGAGGATATGTAGTTGCGGAACTTCGTAGGTGAAAGGACAGGCTAATTAACTTAGCCTAAGTGTGATAAATTCCTGTATAATGAATTAATCACTTTCCAGTACTGCTAACCATCTTTATTCTTGTTTCTCTTTCTATTCCAGTTTGTGTTTCTACTTAAAAATTAGGTTAATATTTTAAACAGTGGTCCATGGTAGCTGAGGGATATTTTGCAATATTAAGCAATTCATATTACTTTTAAACTTTATGTATGAGAGTCCAGATAAAATATATGCGATGCCTGTGGTTGACATTAGCAATAAATGAGCCTTGATAGACTTGTGAGTAGTTCTATTTTTGAAAAATACATAATAGAGTTTTAATAAGTTTTTTAAAAATTCCATAAAAATTTCAACTTTATTATAATTTTATTTAAATTGGTATTTGTTAATTATAATTTGTATATTGCCTTTTAATTTTATAGGTAATTTTTGGCAGTTTAGAAAAAAGATTACATTTGAAAACAGATATAAAAAATAATTTTAGGGGCTCCTGGGTGGTACAGTTGGTTAAGTTTCCCACTCCTGGTTTTGGCTCAGGTCGTGATCTCAGGGTTGTGAGGTAGAGAGCCCTGTGTCCAGCTCCATGCTCAGCATGAAGTCTGCTTGAGATTCTCTCCCTCTGTCCCTCCTGTTTATTCTCTCTCTCTCTCAAATAAATAATTAAATCTTGAAAAAACTAATTTTAGTTTTTGATTTTGCACAATTGATATATATATTTTGATGATAGTATGTTCAAATTTTGTATACTTCGAATAAATTTTATTTTATTTTTAATCCTTTAGATCCTTACTGGCAATATGATACAGAGCATGAGAAAGGCTTATTTATAACAAAATAACTAGTGATTTTGATGAAATTAAGGTAAGAAAAATAAATTTTTTGGAACACATCATAATATATGCATTATGTGTGTCTTTATTTTTATTATTTATCCATACATTGCCCGCTTATCAACATTAAACCCAGACATGTGCAATAATACTTAAGTTCAGTGGTCTTTGATATTTTGTCAACTTTTAGTCAACTTGGTCTTTTAGTCAAGTTTTAGTCAACTTATTTTTTTTAGTAAAAATCATAGCTCTGCATGCTAAATTTTGTCAAGGTATATGGATTAAATACTTCTCCAACTTTATTTCAAATCTCTGTATCCCTCCCTTCCCCACAAGTTCCTCCCAACCCCAGTTTTAGGGAGAAGTTTTACTAGGGAGCAGTGTGATCCTCTTTACTCTATAGGAACTCTGAGCTGGTGGCTCACTTTTATACCTGTCTTAGGATCAAATCTCACCTTCTCTTACCTCTCTTTGATGATGGCTGATCTGGTTTGGTGAGGGAGGGTAGAGGTAGAGGTGGGAATTGGTAATGTAAGCCAGGAGATATTTCAAAGACACATGATAATAATAACTTATGGATAATAATAACTTATGGATAAAACATAATTTAACAAATATTGTACCCCTATGACAAACAGTGTCACATTATCATCAACAACCTCATTTGTGACTCAATATTAGCCCACATTCATTTCTAGGAATTATCCTAGGGAAGTGACAATCTGGGATACAGTGATGTCTGGACATGTTGGTTATACCCTCATATCCAGGCCTAATCAGCGTACTGCGATGGTATGGCAGACAATGGTCAAAGCATGAAAACCTCCAAAAGAACTTTCACTAGAATTTTATTTGAAATGTTGGGGTCAATTAATTCCAAATATTCCTTTCATTTCCTTCATCCTTGGGTATTCGTCACAAAGCAAGTTCTTGCAGGCACGGTTCCCCCCCTACACTCTCTTGCCCATTTCATTCAGAACTTCACATGGTCCTTCTCACAGATTGTGTATATTCAGTCGATTCTCAAAGACTCCATATTTATGAATTCACTTACTAAGGTTATTTGTAGCCCCCCAGTCAGTACCCTGCTTTAGTGGCCGTTCATGGGCAGGTGTGGAGTGGTGAAAAATTGGTATCACCTAACGAGCACATTTCCAGCTGAGGCTGAACAAAGTAACTATTCTGACTCTCTCTTTCAGCTCTTGTACTGTATTTAAGTGTCCTTTTTGTGGTCTGTTTAGTGGCATATTTTCCACATTTTTATGCTTTTTGTTAGTGATTTCACTGTTTAATATAGTCCTCTATCAGTTGCCTGTGTGGCTCAGTCAGTTAAGCGCCTGCCTTTAGCTCAGGTCATGATCCCAGGGTCCTGGGATCAAGTCCCACACTGGCTCCTTGTTCAGCCTGCTTCTCCCTCTCCTGCAGCTCCCCGCTGCTTGTGCTTTCTCTCTCTCTCTGACAAATAAATAAAATCTTTGAAAAAAGAAATAGTTCCCATCTATAGGGCTGAAGTGCTGTTCAGTATTCCTAAGTGCAAGAAGGCTGTAATGTGCCTTACAGAGAAAGTGTCTGTGTTAGATTAGCTTCATTGGGGCTATACTTATACTGCTATAGTTATGGTTATATAGTTATACTGCTGTTGCATCAGTGTACTAAGTAAGTATCTTTAAACAGAAGTCTCTTTATTTTGTTTTGTTTTGTTTTTTTACATGTTGGGTGTCTGGTTTATTCAAACTGTCAGTCAGATGCTCCCACCTCTGCCCTGGGCCAGGCACAGGAAGTGAATAACTGGGAGCTATGGAGCTGAATAGGGCAGGGCTGGTCAGGTATCAGAAGATAAAAGGAGCTCAGCTGAGGAGCCAGAGCAGCATCAGGGCCAGGCTGAGCAGGAAGCAAAGGCCAAAGCCTGCAGAGCCCAGCCCCATTCATGGCTTCAGCATAGAACCTCACCACATCCCTGTTGGGATTGCCCTGGGCTGGGTCAAACCATATCTGGATGCAGGAGCTACTGCCTCAGCTGTAGCTGCTCAGTTTGTAGGAGTGGCTCCAGATCTCACTGCACAGAGTGGCAGGTGCTGGGAAGGAGAAATGGAAGGGGTGCAGGGAGCTCCCACTGGGTACCACTTTTACCTTGATATCCAGTCCTGGCCTTTGTGACAGTTGTTCTCATAGATTTAGGAAGTGTGGCAGCCTTCCCAGCAGTGCAGACAGCCCTCTTCAGCTCTCTTCACATAGGGTCACATTCAAGACGTGCTCTTTGTGCCAGCTGTGGCTCACCTGCTGGCCCTAGAGCCCCAGGTTAGGAGCACTCATACTGGTAGGTGTCCTGGATGAGGTACTGTTTGTAAGCAGGTGCCGTCTGTCCGCAGTGGTCCCAGTTCAGTCTGTACAGGTGGGAAATACCGTTCTGGGCTTCCCAGGTGATGGCAAAGCAGCAGGGATTCTTCTTCCAGGGGCTGCATTGATTTACGCAGCTTGTTCTCCGGCCTTGGCTTTTCCTTGCGGGGCTTGACATCCATACAGACATTGAGAAGCTCAGTCCTGGGCTGGGCTGCCGATACTGCGGCTGCCCCCACCCAAAGGAGCAGCAGCTGTGTTAACCACCAGCTGGACCATGTCAGTCTCTGAATCCTGTGACAACTGGGGAGTGTTAAGTCCTCCAAAGACCTCAGAAAGTAAAGGGCCACTGGATCCCTCACATCTCTCTTCTGGCTTCGTAAGTTGAACAAAAGTATCTTTAAAAAAAATTCAAAACAAGGTTATGTATTGATTGGTTGTTAAAAACGTGACTAGAGGAGCACAAGAATCCAATCTTGTGTTTTTCCTAGTGTTCACTAATTCACTGTTCATGGCAAATTTATAGGACATAATTACTATACTTTATGAGCATTGGCTTTGCCTGTCTTTCTATGTATCTCAAGCTCCCCATTGCCATTTCAGAACACCTTTTTCCCAACTTTGTGGAATTTCAGTCCAATTAGGTGTACCCCTTTAACCTTTTACTTTGCTGTAATTTTCTGATTCAGTTCATTATATTCTTTCTCACCTCTAAGTTCAACAAACATTAATGGAGTTGAACTGATTGATCTTTATTGCTTTTTGCATCTTGCTTAAGAAATTCTTCCCTGTCCTGAGGTCATGAAGATATTCTGCTGTACAGTCTTTTAAAAGCTTTTCAGCTTTTTTTTAAAAAAAGATTTTATTGTTTATTTGACAGGCAGAGATCAAAAGTAGGCAGAGAGGCAGGTAGAGAGAGAGAAGGGGAAGCAGGCTCCCCGCCAAGCAAAGAGCCTGATGCAGGGCTAGATCCCAGGACCCTGAGGTCACAACCTGAGCCGAAGGCAGAGGCTCCAACCCACTGAGCCACCCAGGTGCCCCAGCTTTTTTTTTTTTTTTAAGGTTTATTTATTTAAGAGAGAGGGATCATGTGCCCATGCATGGTAGGGGGAGGGGCAAAGGGAGAGAGAATCCCAAGCAGACCCTTCACTGAGCATGGAGCCCGACATGGGGCTCTATTTCATGATGCTGCAATCATGACTTGAGCTGAAATCAAGAGTAGGAAGCTTAGGTGACTGAGTCATCCATTATCCCCCCAAATTTTTCAGTTTTGACTTTCACAGTTAGGTTTATAATCTACTTGAAATTGATATTTTTATGGTGTAAGTTAGAAATACAATTTCATTTTATTCTCATAGACACTTGACTATCCCAGAACTTTTTATTAAAAAGGCAGTCTTTTTCTCACTACTTTTCAGTGGCATCTCTGTCATTTATCAAGGGTTTACATATGTATAGTTCTATTTCTGGCTATCTATTTTGTTCTTTTTTTTTTTTTTTTTAAAGATTATTTAGTTATTTAGGGTGCCTGGTTAGCTCAATTGGTTGGGTGGCTGCCTTCAGCTAGGGTCGTGATCCTGGAGTCCTGGGATCGAGTCCCGCATCAGGTTCCCAGCTCCACGGGGAGTCTGCTTCTCCCTTTGACCTTCTCCTCTCTCATGCTCTTCTCCCCTTTCATGCTCTCTCTCTCTGTCTCTCTCTCTCAAATAAAAAAAAAAAAGATTATTTGAAAGAGAGGGAGAGAGAGAGAAAGAGTGAACTCACAATTACAGGCGAAGGGGCAGAGGAAGGGGGAGAAGCAGACTCCCCGCTAAGCAGGGAGCCCAATGTGCGGCTGGATCCCAGGATCCTGGGATCATGACCTGAGCTGAAGGTAGACAAGTAACTGACTAAGACATCCAGGCCCCCCCATAAATAAAATCTTTAAAAAAAAAAGGAATTATGAGTATGGTTATTAGTATAGGGAGCTGATTAAAATAAAAAATCAAGTGTGTTTTTGAGAAAGAATTGTTCATCAAAAGTACCACCGGCCTGCATTCAGAGTCTGAAATTGGTGGCCCCACAATTCAATGGGAAGGAAACATGTAGAGAAAGCTTCCAAGTCCCCAAACAGGGCATATTTTCCAAGGCCCTCTTCATAATGACTAATAATAATTGATAAGGAACACCTTGCCAGAGGGCAGAACCGAGGGCCATGGTGAGCCGTGTTTTAGGGAGTCACTCCTAATTAGAGAAAAGAAGACCTATTCAAGAAATATTCCACTTTCCTAGAATAGGAATGCTTGTAATTGTCTGCCCATTGGGATTTAGAATTGTGTCTTCCATCTTTATCCTTCCAAATGAGAGTTTTATTGTAATTATCCTGACCCTGTTCTACTCTCATGTATATATATTGGGGTGGGGTGAAACAGATAACTTGGATTACTAGTTAACAGGCATCTAGGTTAAAAATGAACCTCTTCTAGATCTAATATTGAAATGAACACATCTGAGATCTTGGACTTTGAGCTCAGAGCAGTGACTGTGTGGGACCCTAGGGTCTTCCCTGTTGGGGAGGAGGTAAGTATTTAGTATGTGATGGGATGGGAACTGAATATTTAGTAATAAGAAGCATGGGCTGTGATGTTTTTTAAAATTATTTATGGAATTTGGTACCCATCTTTACAAGAGGATTCTACTCAAAATAAACAGAAGTGATGTATATTGCCTCTTTCAGAAGATTTAAGGATTACCTTGTGCTTTGTAATAAGTCTCTTTGCTTTCTCCTATGACAGGCATTAAGGTTTCAGATAATGGCTTACTTGCCAGTCTTGGTCCCATAGCAAAGAAGATATCAGCTGAAGTGCTGACCCACGGTGAACACAGAAAGCACAAAACAAATGTTTGTGGTCGTAAGCCACTGGGATATTTGTCATTTATTGTTGCCGCATAACCTATTCTTCCATGGCCAATATAACCATGCTTACAATATTAAAAAAGACAAAATACAAGCCTAAAATTGTCTTCAGGAAATAGAAAATTATAAAAAGGAGCAGAAAATATTTGAAAAAGAACCAAATAGAGCTTCAAGAAATGATAAGTATATAACCTAAAAAAAAAAAATTCAGCTTAACAGTTTGACAGAAGATTGATCAAAGCTTAAGAGAGAATTAGTGAACTAGAACGTAGATCTGTAGATACTACCAGGAATGCTTTTAAGAGAGACCAAAAAAAGATGGAAAACACAGAAGTGGAATTAAGATGTATGGTGGATAGAGTAAGAGGATTTATTCATTTAGTTGGGATTACATAAGAAAAGTTGAGAAAGAATGGGGCAGAGGCAATATTTGAAGATGTAATGACTGAAACTCTTTTAGAATGAATTAAAGAATCCCAAATAGTATAAATAAAAAGAAATCTACCCAAGTCACATTACAGAAACTACAAAAATAGACAAAGAAAACAAAATCTCAGAAGCACCAGAGGAACAGAGTGGATGACTTCAAAGGAGCAGTAGTTGGGTTAATAGTTAACTTCCTAACAGCAACAATGCAAATCAGGTGATAGTGGAATGGTATCTTGAAAGGGCTCACATAAAATATCTGCCGATGTAGAACTGGAATTAAAGATATCTTTCATGAATGAGGGTGAAAGAATAATAGACAAAACCTGATAAACTGAAAGCCGAGAGAGTTGATCTCTAGCAGATGCTACCTATAGGAAATTCTGAAGAGTGAACTTGAGACAAAAGGAGAGTGATCCTTGAGGGAGGAGCTGATGTGCAAGAAGGAAAGAAGAGCAAAGAAGGTGGCAAGTATATGGGTAGACACTGTAAAGCCAGCAATAATAATGTCCC